GAGGAGGAGGGGGCTGGGGGGAGGGGAGAAGGCACACCTCACACGAATGTCTTTCAGACTTACCTCTTTTTTCTGAGCTGACTGAACAACTAAAGCGAATAAGAGGCACTTGTGACTCAACTCTGAAACAGAAACAGAAAACATATAGAGAAACACTCTTACATTCAATTGTCAGTAAACTTCATTATACAAAATGAACAGCATGTCACATATCTAATAACTTCATAACGGAATAGATCACACCTCTACAACGTGCGTATTCATTGCCCACCGTTAGAAGATAGAAGTAAAGCACTGAACCTGCGGCACAATGCATGACTCACTTACACTCAAACTTTCAATAGAATTGCATATCTTTAGTGATATAAAAGAACCAGGCTACATGCTTACAGTTGAACATTCTCCCCTTCCCACGGAGGTAGATGTGTTCCAGCACCAGTGACGACCTCCACCACGATGTTGAGTCGACGTAACACATCTTCCCTGTTGAATTACAAAAGAAAACTTATATGGGTCACGACGCGGTGGAATCAGGCGCTCGTCAATTTTTGGGCATGTGGAGTTATTGGTATCTTCTTAAAGCAGATTTATTTGCATATCAAACATAAACTATCAAAAACAAACCTCTTAGGAAAACAGTATAAAAATTCAAACCAGCAACTTGATGCTAACATTATCTAAATCATAACGTTAAGATTATAACGTCTCAGAAGACAAAACTCTTGTCAAAAAGTTAACATAAAAATTGCCTTGTATTATTTTAGTTATGCATCAAGATATGGAAGAGAGATTTGACCAATGAAGAGCAGCACTCTTACACTGGACAGTTAATAACTTAACAACAGCTTACAGCTTGAAACTATACTTTAGTGTGTGGCGCACAATGGCCAGCAAAACAGGTAAATCAGTTCTTGTACCATCTTTTTTTGCTTCTCAAGTAAGAGGACATAGATCACTGACATCACATACTGACATGTCTTTTAACCCAGCACGAATAAAAATACTTGAAAATAGCCTTCAGACCCCAATAATCATTCTTTTTTTAAAAAGGACAGTACAAGCTGTTCCATGATTCCTCTGGGGAAAAAAAATCTAGTTTCCTAATAGGTTCACAACACTATTAACACCATAAATTACAGAAAAAGAAAATCCATGACAAGTAATTTGCCATTTGATCATTTGATAGGTACAGAAACAAGACTACTTCTCTTGAACACACTCACTTGGAAGTCTCATTGCTTGGGGAGATGTTTTGAAAGAACTGTATCTCTGGCAAGAGAAGCGTTTCTACAATTTCTGTGGCGAGAGACAACTCCTCCTGTGAGGGGATATGCCACTGGACATTCAGGTTGTCCAGGTCTCCAGCTGCCCCCCAGTCCTGTAAAGAACAGACATAGCATTAGATCACTCCAAGTTCACAATCTAAACAGCTGCCCCTCAGATGTGAACAGACATGGCATTAGTGAACAGACAGGGCATTAGATCACTCCACGTTCACAATCTAAACAGCTGCCCCCCGGTCTTGTGGTGAAGACATGGCATTAAATCACTCCAAGTTCACAATATAAACAGCTCCTGTTCCTCCCCCCTCCTCCCCCCATGCTGAGGTGTACAGACATAGCGTTAGATCACTCAAAGTTCACAATCAGTGCTTCCACCAGCTGAAGCTGAAAAGTAAGGAAAATTCTGCAGGGGGTCTGGGGGCGAAACCCCCGAAGAAACAGAAATTTAGTGCTTTTAGAGGGTAGAAAATGGGCATTTGGGAGCCTGTTTGAAGATATTGCCTACAGCCCATAATATTCATTTTTCACCAACATTTTGTCTTGTTTGACTTCATCCCCAGCATATCTTTCCAATGTTGGAAATGTTTAAAAGCAGGTTCCCCTTTCATTGCTACTATAATTCAATTAATTTG